TGAGACCTAACGAGAGAGCGATAGGGCTCATTCTGGGACCTTGGAAAGCTAAAAACGATATTTTTACTTTTGTATTTAATCTACTTTTGTGTCATATTATACATATTTTATCTATGTTTTTAACCGATTTCTATAAATGTTACGCAATTATTCAGATATTTGTGAACCGATTTTGATGTTTTCTTTTCTTGGAAAGAGGGTACTTTAGCAGTGATTCCATTCAAATTTGAAAAAAATCCACCTCCAAGTGTGGCAAATTATGGGATGAATCCTAACCGGATTCATCCCATTGATATTTTTCATATTTTTTTTTGTGTAAACATTACATTACTTTGTTGTTGAAAGAATAGAATCGGTATCTAAAGGAAAGGACTTTATAACAAAAAGTATCGATACTTTTTCCGTGTCCCTTGTCATGACACTTATTGGTCGCTAGTTGATCTAAGCAATAGTCGTATAGAAGTCTGTCTACAACACAATAAAATATTGAATGGGCCCATTCGCTTTTGTCAGCTTATGTCAGCACGATGAATGAACATGTATTGAAGCAACTGATCATGACTCATACGACAATAAATATAATATAGTCGTTAATACCAAATGATTATGGATCAAAATTACGTTTGTTTACCTTCGGAAAATGTGTGACGTTCCCAACCCACATTTGACCAGCGTGGTGGATTATGGCCTAAACCCTCGCCAGAGAGAAGATCCATGCCGCAGCAGTGGGACGTATAAATGGATTAACGATAATGACACCTCATTCCTTTTTAAACAGATCTTTTTTCTAATGCCAAGTGACGGAACGAACAAGTCTTGGGCCTGGTTGTAAACGGCATTCCTGTTCACAACAGTGGCAGTGCCATTCAGAGCTTTAAACAGCAAAGACTGGAACTGCCACTGCGGCCGTCACCCTGAGACATAAGTTGACAAGTGCCATGTGCCTATAATTTCACCAGCACTCCTACCTTTCAAAACCGGAACGCAATAATGCTTGGCGGCATAAATAGCTAAGGTGGCAGTATGTATACGTTATAAAATCAAAAGTTTATAGACTGTACTCATGAGTAGTACCGCATATAAAGTATCGTAGTCATAAAAGTATCGATACCTTGAGGTTTCGATACTTTTGCCCTGCAGCTTTTCCCTACTTATAGGCAGAATAAAACACATGATTTTGTCTTTTTTTATTGATTTATGATTTTTAATTAAAACAAATAGTAAAAGAATTTGATTAATTCAATCAATCGTCATTTAACATAATTTGTGTTACTTAAATTTCCAATTTCCCACTCTTCCTCTGTACAATCGCTTAAAAACAAAAATCTATTTGGTGACGGGTCTGTTTCTCGTTTGTGATACTGTATTGCCTGCTTTTGATAACAAACGTTCTGAAGAAGGGACAAACTTCTTTGAAAGAGGCAAATGGTAGCATACAATATACAGCCAAGTAATCAATGATAAAGATTCTTATTTAAAAAATCGCTTCGTTATAATATATAGAATCGACGACTTGCGTTATAATATGAGGTGTCCTAAGTAGGAATTATTCGAAACGATACGATACTGGTCAAAAAGTACTAATACCTAAAAAGTTTCAAATGAGAAGTATCGAGTACAAAAATATCGGTATCGGAGGGAAAAGTACTCGATACCAAAAAGTATCGATACCTTTTCCGTGGCCCTCGATGACAGTACTTCCCTACTACTACTAGATGAAATCTTTCACAACGAGCTCTACTAGTACTAAAATACGTGACGTTTGGACACATAAATACAAAAACTTTTATATCACGAATAACACCAGCTTAATGGAATTAATCTCTACCAGTTCAATGACGCATTATATTATCTCACTCTACGACAATTACAAACTTATTTTGCACTTTGCGAGCTGTATATTGTATTCAAAACGCATTTGAACTTACGAAATGTAACAGAAAATATTTTTTTTCTTCTGCAATGTTACAGTTGCCGCTAAGTAAGTTTGCTATTGTTAATAATTGCTTTTCTTATTACGTTTCTCAGACGCAAAAATGTTTGTTATTATTACTGTGATTGAAAAGGCGTTATACCTCGTATAATATGGAGTACAAGTAGGTAGTTATAGGTACATTGATCCTTTTTTTGTAACAATTCTAGTTTATTGACACCGTTTCGTGTCTAGTAGTTTTATTGAATAATCGTTGGTTATAATTTCATTTGTCTCCGGGTATTTATTTATCAATTCATTTGATAGTTTAGTCTATTACAGTTATCTGTTTTTAAGTAGTTCAAGTAACGTTAATGTCATTATGTATATGGACACTATTTATGTCGTAACATAAAATCTATAGCTACAGAGGACGTAAGTGCTGGTTCCAAAACTAATGAAACTGCTAGAAATAGATGTTATTGGTCTCCTATCAGAACAGCGCAGTGGACTATACCCGTAATCTTCACTTGGAGGAGATTCTTGCTGAGCAGTTTTTTTAGACTACTAATTACTACGCAAATTATGTAGTCTTAAACTAGAGCATTGCCTCTGGTATGTGTACCAGAGCAACATAATTCACTCTCCGGGACACTACTTTCGAAACATTATTTTCCCATATTGGTTCTACCGGGAATCGAACCCGAAATCTTATCATATTCGTTCATCGTCTATAGTGAAAACCGTTTAGTCACCGAGGTCGCCAATAGCAGTGTAATAAGTATTGTACACGTTTACGTGGGACGATTAAAGTTATTAACTTAGTTCTTAGATTTTTTCATCACACTTGTTCGTAAACAGTATCATGACACGCAGGCAAAGTCGGCCGTAATATCCTAAATTATGCTCAATTAAATTAAAGGCGTTGGTGAATTTACAGGCACATGGCACTGTCTACTAATAATATCTCAGGTTGACGGGCGCAGTGGCAGTGCCCCTCAGGTCTTTGCGAATTAAAACTCTTAAGTTGCACTGTAACTGTTATGCGTAGACGTGTCATTTACCACCAGGCGCACGACTTGTTCATCCCGTCGCTTGATATCATTAAAAACTACACCTAGTATAAATAGGCGATATATAGTTTCTATGACGCTGCACGTTGAACCGTCGTCGAACAGTGCAAGGACTTTAGGCCAGAGGGGACGTGCGAAGTTCTACCCTCTTCCTCCGAAGAAGGTACCAGAAGCGTCGGCCACTAGAAGGCTGATGCTCTGGCGACACAGGGTTCGTATAAACTCGTACATTACAAAAATCCCCGTGCCCGAAACGCTTCCGCGGCCGCGTCTGTGTGGCCGGAGCATAAATGTACGGATGATATAGTCACGGTAACCAAAACTACCTGGATGCAAATGAGGAGACCTACACTCAGCAGTAGGTGACTAAAGGCTGAAGAAGAAGAAGATTGTATTGAAATAAGCTGGTACTTAATAAAAATAAAACAAATTTTCGCCACGCCGACTTTACGCCGGTCAATTAAAACAGCAGCGGCGCAGCGCACATGTCTAGTAGCAACACTTCTATCAGAACTTAATTTGAACTCTTTCCCAGCAGTTCCTTTGCGCTCCAGTTGTGAGATACTTCGATTTTGATGTCTAGGAATGGCATATTGAAGAATCTAGAACGACTAATGGATATTTTTTGTGTAGCGTTTTATTGTAGCCAATTACTGAGCTAATGGCTATATTTAGGAATACGTTTTAGTATTTCAATGCGTTGTAATATCTAGCTTTTATTATCATTGTGAAGAATCTCTTTTGTGAGAAATGATATGAAATTACTTTAACCTTTGGTTTTTTATTAACCAAAATACTGGGTGTAAACCCTTTTCCGTGAGAATAATTCACGTTAAAATAATTCAGAATAAAAAAAAAAATTTTACCCGTCTTTAAAAAAAGGGAGGAGGTTCTTAAGTCGAATTGTATTTTTTGTGTGTAGTTATCCCATTCGAAGAAAATTTGAAGAAAATGTTCCACCTGTAAGGGTGGCAAATTCGGGGATGAATCTGGTTTATTTCATTTCACCCTGGCAAATATATGCAATTCAACAAATTTTTGAGGTTGTTTTTTTTTTGTTATTATACAACTATAATTCCTATTGCCCTAGTGTTAGTATAATAACATATAATAATAATAATAACGCACACACTCAACATAACCCTGTGTCGCGGGTGCCATGGACACACACATAGACAACCACAAATGACACCCAAACTCACGAGAGAAATAAATGTAGGCCATACAAATAATTCTCCCGGCACGGAAATCGAACCTGGGACCTCTGCGTGGCAGTCAGGCATGGTAACCGTTCGGCCACAGAGGCAGTTAAAGTTTAGTATTTAATACTTAATATTCAACGTGCATGCAGATGGAGCAATGCTAGCTAGTGTTCTATTGCTGGTCTGCCCCGTCGAGGTGAAGAAAGAAATTATTTGATTACAAAAATAATAAAATGAAGTCGAATGTAAGGCTACATCTTGTTAATGTTTCAATGAATATGATTAAAAGACTAGTTGATTTCATTGCCTATGTGTTGATCTATGAAGTAGAAGATGTAGGTTGTATAATGGGAGTAAGTAAAAAGACGGAAAATAACTGAAATATTTTCAATAAGTAACGCCAATTTCACCATAAAAAAAAAACAATACGTTACCATAACTGACAGGACAAAATAAATAAAACAAAACAGAAAAAGAAAGCAAGAACTGTCGCGAATACACGTCTTAGAATCTTGAATAGACGATGTGATAATTTTGTGCCATCTCCTACCGTAGGTCGACTATCATTAGTGCTATCTGTATTTTAGACACTGCTGCACGGAACAAGGATCTTGTGGCTCAAGTTGAACCATGTCCGGATATTCTTGAGCCATGAAGTACGTGTTCTTCCAGGTAATCGTTTTCTCTGGATTTTTCCTTGCATAATTTGTCGGAGCAGGTCGCATGTATCATTACGCATTATATGACCAAAGTACTGTAGCTTGCGTTTTTTAAACTGTGATAGTGTTATAACTTTTAATCTTTTTGTTTCAGATTAATCGGCTCGCGACATAAACATCGTCTGTGAGTATTGCACATTTTCGTCAGACAACAACTTTGTCTGTTATTAAATTTATATGTATCTATGCTACGGTAATGATTGTTTCTACACTTCCCCACACATAATTGGAGCCCCCTTGCATTTTCAGTATTAAATACCTTAAGCTTAAAATAATGTGTGGTTGTTCAAAAACTATTATACAATTTTGAAATTGGAATAGTAAACGTTATTTCCATATGCCCTTGTATAAATTGGAATTTGTAAAACCGGGGAAAATAATGTCTGCAATGATAACATTAATAAATATTTCAAGGAAATAGTTCCATACAGAGGTTGTTTCTGCTTTCATAATTGCATTTAACACAAAACTGTTAAAAACATGCGCGCGTCTGAACCATCGCGAACGTTGTAAACATCCGATTAAAGTTCCGTTATAAAAGTTGTGAAAGCCGAAACGGAATCAGATGTGGAAAAGCATGCGGAACTTCCGCCTTTGCGGAAGCAGAAGTCTATTGCATCTTTGATAAAAATGCAAGATGGCTCGATTTATCTGTCGGGGATTATATATTTGCTTGTTACTCGAATTTTGCTCGCAATTACATTTTTCCGTAATACTTTTTAAAGTCGTTCTTGACAACTTTGTGTTTCTGTATATTGAAGCGTTTATTTCATAATAAATATCCTGTATTGTCAACTCGAGTGTTCATTGAAGAGTTTACGACCAATTAATTGATTTTATGTATGTTTTTTTCGTTGGTGTTGTTTTGGTATGTGTAGAGTGTTTAGTGGAGTGCGAACGCAGGTTACTACAAGTCTGTCAGTGGCTGTTATACTGTGTGAAATATTTGTTATGTATTGTGGGAATAGATTGGGGTAAGCCCGTTATCGAACATGCGTCCGCCTATATGAAATCGTACACGTAAATAGGCTGCGCATGCAGCGGAAATGTGAATGTTGAGATGGATTTGTGGAGTAACGAGAAAGGATAAGATAAGGAATGAGTACGTCACGGGAAGTTTGAAAGTGGCGCCAGAGACGAAACGGATGTGGAGCAATAGGTTAGCGTGGTATGGATATGCGGAGGGAAGAATGTCTTGTGACGATAAGAGAGTTAGTTATTAATGTGGAGGGATATAAGGGGAGACGAAGGAGAAAGAAAAGATGGATGGATTGTGTCAGAGATGACATTTTTTTATCATATCAAGTGACGGGACGAACGAGTCGTGCGTGATGGTAAGCTACACGCCTGTCTATAACAGTTGCAGACTTGCCACTCAGAGCTCTAAATCGCAAAGATCTGAGTCGGACTGCCACTGCGTCCGACACCCTGAGCCATAAGTTGACAAGTCCCATGTGCCTGTATTTTCACCAATAAGGAAATAGAAGGCTGGATTTTAGGAGGTTTATCGTTCCACACATTTTAGTAAACATCTTTAATCATATATTTTGAACTATTTTCAAACAGTTAATTATAATTTTAAAATAAGTAAACAGGTAAGGCGTCATAAAATACTTCATTATGGTTAGTTTACATTTAGTGAATTACCTAAACCTTTGTAGTACAATAAATGCACTATTGTATGTAGGCGAACTAGATAGTGTAACGAGCAGTGTGTGAAGAGCGTAGGTCGTAAAGTAACTTCCAATTGAATAAATTCTTTAAGGTGCACACGCGTTGAGCTGTCTGTTAAATGCTAAATAAACATATACATTTTAATGATACCAAGTACATATAGTATACCTTGTGGTAATTGTCACGCCAGTCCATTACAATCGCAGTGCCATTCAGAGCTATAAAACGCAAAGATCTGAGGGGCAATGCTACTGCGCCCGTCCCTTTGAGACTAAGTTGACAAGTCCCATGTGCCTGTAATTTCACTAGCACGCTTACTCTTCAAAACCGGAACACAGTAATTGTGACATTGCTTGGCGGCAGAAATAGGTAAGGTGGCGGTACCTCCCTGGATGAAATCTTTCACAAGGAGCTCTACTGCTGCTATAACATGACGTGGATAAGAAAGGTGTGAGTATGGAAGCGACGGCTGATAGGGGAGAGTGGAAGAAAAATACGTGTTGTGCTGACCCCACCTAGCGAGGGATAAGGACTGGAAGAAGAAGATACGTAACTCGATGCCTTACTTTCACAAACTCTTTTAAAGAGTGATTATTCAGGAGATTCTTATCAATGGTGTTAATTTGGGTGCAGTACTCTAAGAATACGTAAAATCTAGAGAAATGTGACGTGACATCAGCCTGCAAAATTTGTATATAATATACAATCATTGACTTACAATTATATGGACGTCGGGTCCGCGCTAAAAAGTGTCCGAACTGATAGGGCGTTAAAATCGTATACAGAGCGTCATTCACGCTTTAGTCTTAGTTTGTTCCACTGACAGCGAAGCAAGCAAAATTAGACAGTACTGCGATGATATTACAATTTAAATTCAACGTTTTAGCTTTTTCATATTCCTTTACATGTCACTACTTTTAAATAGGTTGACTTGGGACATTTTTTTCGTGGTTTTTGTATTAGACCCGTCGTCCATTTATTTGTAAGTCAATGTATACAATCCATTTTTTACATTTCAGTAACCTGGTTCTTTAAGATACGAGTTTGAGAAAGTAAGGCGACGAAATATGACGATGGTTTCCTTCAAAGAATTTTAATGATACCTGTAAGCTTAATCGGTGAGTTCAAAAAGCGATATGATTTTACGGTATCTTCACCATGAGATTACGTTGTCTAGCGAACTCGTAAAGTCAATTTTTCATACAAATGTTTTACGCGTCACTAGCTATTGATCGTCAATGAATTCTTGGTAGAGGGTTCGATTACAAGTTACAAGTTTATAAAGACATCAATCACTTTTTATCCGTGTTTTGATTAGAAATCGGATTATTTACCAAGCCTACAATGTAACGTTTATAGATCAAAACATAATAACGTACTTGACACTAAAAGCGTTCACGATAAAATTGACGGTTTGTAACATGTGTAAATAGATTATTTCTATTTCCTCATAACGACCGTGTTTAGAGATTAATTATAAAATTATTATTTCGAAAATGAAAAGTGATTCTTAGTTTATATAATTTTTTTATTATAGTGTACGTTTATGTTTTCGTTTCGTAATTGAGAAAAGGTCATTTTAATTTCAAATTAAGGCGAACTATTTCAACGCGAGCCTATATTTTAGGAGGTGAAGTGTGGTGGATCGGCCCTCGAGTTCAGCAACCTGCGCACTGAAAATTAATATAAATATAATCTCAGTACAGAGTATTTGCCAAGTTTTATTGAAATCCGTTAGCGCAAAGTGCGCGAAAACAGAATTTCATATGATCGGGTGAAGCACATCCTATTGTTTTTTTTTTTTTATTGCGACTCGGCAAAATGACCACCGCGCCTGATGGAAAGTGCGAATACAGTCCAGAGATGAGAGTAACGGATGGAAAACACAAATATCTTCACTCCGTCACTATCATTTTGCCGGTCTGGCCAAATGCTTCTTCACGCTACGTTTGAAGGACCCGATGTTATAGAGGGGAGGGAATACATGCGCCGGGAGTCGGTTCCACAATTTGATGGTTCGGCATAAAAACGAATTGCCAAACTTTTTAGTGCGGGACGGTATTGAACTGACCGTCCAACTGTGGCAACGCAGTCCGGCACGGGTGGTCCGCTGATGGAAAGGAGAGGAAGGGATAAGGTTGAATAACTCTTCAGAGCACTCACCGTGGTACAGGCGATAGAATACGCTAAGAGACGTTATATCTCTGCGAAGCTGTAACGACTCCGCATGCTCAGTTACATGAGGATCGTTGACAACACGGAAGGCGTAGCGCTGCAGTCCATCTAGGGCATCGAGCAAGTACTTGGCAGAGCCGTCCCAAAGGTTTTGTTAACAAATCAGCATTCTTTAGACAATATCCTTAGGTGTATCGTATATTTTTGTAAGAACGTTATTTAATAGTAAATACCTGAACCATTTGACATAGCAAAACAGTTTTTTCCGCTTCTGACTGTGCGCTGGTGACTTGCCTTAAATTTAAATTGTAACGAACCTTTCGAGCTGCCAAATAGTAGACACGGCGGCGGACCGGGCGTTTTGGTACCACTTTATCCACTTTTGTTCTGCAATGTGGTGTTTTTTTATTGCTATAATAAGTGCGCATTTGAGCTCCTCACCTGATGGCAAGTGGCGATGAGGTTGACAATAGAGCATGCATTCCTGTATAATGCCTATTCATTCACTCTTTCCTTGAAAAGGCACAAGTTATAGCGTTCAGAACAACCAGGAAATTTGGAAGTGTAACGCTTTCAGCGAATCCTAAATACATCCACAACTTAACTATGCGCAGCTTACATCTAGTCCTCGGACGATGGAAAGGGGAGGGCGGAATTATTTCACGTTAATTCCGTGCTCCAAAATATACCCATGGCATCAATTATAACTTCGGAATGTTGAACTTCGTTGTAATGACCATTAGATATGGTATTTCGGTAATCCTTTTTTTATTTATGTAATATGGTTATACAGCAGATAACAGATCCCATTTATATGAATATTTATTTAAGTCACAGTAATTAAGCAATATTAGATTTTTTTTTTTAGTGACAACAGTAAAAATTGTTTATATTAATGACTGGTCCCATTGGAAGCATCTCTCATCCGGTGTACTTTTATAGATTTCGATCGTCTTTCTCCTAAATACCTATCGTAATTATTTCATGTGATTTCTTTTTTTATAATATTACAATTAAATTTTTGTGTAGTCTCATAATCTCAGCACTCGGTAAATTATACTTTCGAAATGTTGAACTTCTTCAGATCAACGCATAATATTATCGGTTTACCATCTTACCTGAACTGAATATAAGCTCTACCTCGTATCAAACTCGTTCCATTAATGAGTTACATTCATAAATTAACTAGGTGATATGTTGGTTCTCCAACGAAGTACCGCAGTCTTCCTTTTCTATTTTCATACATTGCAAATTTTTCAATTCAATATTTTTCTC